CAACTTAATACTTAACCCTAGTACGTCTATACGCCCACTTCATATTCTTGATTTGAGCTTTTAATTAATGGGTTCTTTTCAGTTTTAGTTTGATTGATTGAAAGTACGTGAGTTTTATTGTTTTCTTCTAGGCAAAGTTGATTGCTTTGTTTTGGTACCTTTGGTAATGCAAATAGGGGAATGCGACTGTGGTGGAGAATACGGAGAGAGGATGTCGTGATCTTATTTTCCAGAGGATACGGGCAGCTTTTGATTTTGGAATTTGAGATACTTGAGTAGGGTTTTCTCTTGAAAGTGTAGGATTTGATGATTTTGGAATCATGATTCAGATCTAATGTTTCCTATCAAAATAATTTGTTGAATCTAATGTTACAATGTTTTGCAATGTCATTGATAAAATTATTTTTTATAATAAAATTTTAAACACATGACCTTATGCATTAGGAGAGAAGCGAGGCCATGTCAAATAAAACTTCTAGATTTTTTTTGTTGGTAAATACTACAAGGTGTCCACACATCCGAAGGGTGAGATTAAGTCTCACTTGGGGTTCAGTTTGCCCCTGATCACAAAGTGTTCAATGGGTTTCGAACCCTGCCATTGAGGCACCATGTAGCTCACACCACACTTTTGGTTTCCATTAGAATATTTGGGTTTAGCTTTCTATTGGAATTTTTATCTCCTTAAGTAATGTGAGGTTGAGGTGAACTTAGAGTGGTGAGCGGCAAGATAACGGGGTGTGGGGTGTGAGGTTGATAAATTTTTTATTTTTTTTTTCTTGCTGGCCTTGGTGTGTATTTAAGGATAGTTTAAGAAGATAGTGGAGTTTTTCTAGAAATTGTGAAAATTTGAATTAGAAGTTGAGGTGAACAAAGAGAAGTGCGGGTTTAAATAGAATAACTCCAAGTATTGAAGTGAACAAAGAAAAATATAGGGTTTAAATAGAAAAACTCAATTAAAATTATTTTTTTGGCCAAGAGGAGAATAACTATAAAACATTACTTACAAAAAACATAAACTAAAAATTTAAAAAACATAGACGGCTCAGCGGAGAAGGAAAACAGTCGCAGTTCGCAGTAAATAAAAAGTTTGACTTACTATACTTTCTGAGATTTCAGACTTTGACTGTTGAGAGCTTTCAGACAAGCAGCGCTATGGAAGCCAGCAGCAAGCAGCAGGTACCACTTCATTTTCAATTTTCAATTTTTATTTCCACTTCTCTTTTATTTGTGTATTTATGTATGAATGAATTTCTATATTGGTTTCTAATTTTGGTGAAGAAAAAGTCGGAAAATTCATCATTGTCTTCTTCTTCAAAGCTCCTGCTCTACTCCTACTGGCAGAGCTCCTGCTCTTGGTTCGTCCGCTTCGCTCTAAGTCTTAAAGGTTTTATTTTGCTTTTATAAATGACTTTTAGTTTGTTTCTGTCAAATTTTTTTATAAGAAATTAAAAATCATGATTAATTTCACTCAAGTTTAGGGAAATTTGTTTTTGTTGGTCCGAAATATTTAGTGAATTGAATTGAATTTACTTGTTTTTGGTTTTGTTCATTTGTTGTTAATTGAATGTATAGGACTTCCATACGAGTACAAACCAGTGAACATCACAAAAGGAGAGCAGTTCAGTCCAGGTGGGTTTGAAGCGATGTTATGCTTATTACAAGCCATTCATGTTCTATATATTGAAATAAAAACAGGGCAAATAGTCT